AAACAAGAAAGACTTAAATAAGCTTATTTGGCACAAATTTGTTCTTCATGGCACTGGCGTACATACCGTGGTCGCAGGGGTCACAGGGGTCGCAGCTGCGACCGGACCCGTCACTCCAGGGGGCCCGGCCGTCCTGCAGACCCCTGCGACGTGGTGCCCGCCATCATCATTTGCGGCCCGGGCCCGTGCGCAAACCATCGGGGCTGAATATTAAAGTGCCCATCGGGTGGTCCATGTTGTCAGGGGTGGTCAATGCTGTCATGGGGACCGGTCAGCGCTGGGCGCTTTAACAGCGCGACAGGGCCCCCTGTGTTGACATCATTCCTCCCACGTATCACACAGAGCCCGCGCAGGAGGAAGAACAGGGAGTCAGAGTGGGAACTCTGACTCCCATTAACCTGAGCCACCACTGGACCCCAGGGAAAGTCACCCTCCTGCACCTAAAAGTTAAGAAAAAGGAGGGTGACTTAAATATTATGTGTGTGTGTGTGTGTTTGTTTGTATGTATGTATGTGTCTGTGTCTATCTGTCTGTATGTATGTGTGCCTGTCTGTATGTGTGTGTCTTTGTATGTATGTGTGTTTTGTGTGTGTGTGTGTGTATGTGTGTGTGTTTCTGTCTGTATGTATGTGTGCCTGTCTGTTTGTATGTATGTGTCTTTGTATGTATGTCTTGTGTGTGTGTGTATGTATGTATGTATGTATGCATGTGTGTCTTGTGTGTGTCTGTATGTGTATGTGTGTCTGTCTGTGATGTATGTGTTGTGGACAAAAATATTAACCCAATCCATGTTAGTAAAATGCCTATTTACTCAGTATAACTACAATCAACATTATTCAACCTTACATGTGATTTACCTAAAATGGCCGCTAGGGAGTTTCCCCTTGACATCGACTAACACCCTCATTAACTTAACAAGATGGCGCTGGAATCTGGGGGAGACCTCCAAGATACCAGTGACATCACACCAGGTAGGAAGAGCAATAAATGAATCACTTAACACCTAACCAATTATTGATGTATTATTCCATGTTATCTCTGACAATGCATATGATGTAATTTTGCTTTATAAGGGACATGCCGATTCCTCAAGTTTTTCATTAACCCGAAACCTGTGTCTGGTGTGAATTACTTTAGGAGCGTGCACACATTACTTCTTTAATTTGGCTGGGGACAGATACGCAAGATAATCAATTGATTGATTCCACATCATTTGGCACCCAACGTGGGGCACCGGTTCTCGCCGGTTCGGACAGCCGGAAAACGGGAAAAAAGTGGGACAACCGGAGCCTGATCACCTCCTAAATACAGCGGTTTGCCTGTATTTTACTGTTTTGTGTCGGTCTGTCTCCGTGTCCACTTCCGGCTTCCAGAAGGCTACAAGACAGGTAATCTCTTATCCGGTGCCTTTTAAAACGAACCTGTCGATTGTCTATCTGCCTCCTAAGTGTATGCATGAGTGTGAGACAGCTGGTGTGTGGTTTATGCTTTTTTATCATTATAGCTTGACTGCCTAGCGGGCAGGGAATGCATCCGCCCGGTGAAGTGCTGGGATCCTCCTAGAGAAAGGTTGGGAATTTTGTCCGCCCGGTGAAGGGCTGGGAATTTTGTCCGCCCGGTGAAGGGCTGGGAACCGCCTAGAGAAAGGCTGGAAATTTATTTTAGCTTGACTGCCTAGCGGGCAGGGAACGCATCCGCCCGGTCCAGGGCTGGGATCCGCCTAGAGAAAGGATGGGAATTTTGTCCGCCCGGTGAAGGGCTGGGAACCGCCTAGAGAAAGGCTGGGAATTTTGTCTGCCCGGTGAAGGGCTGGGAACCGTCTAGAGAAAGTCTGGGGATTTATTATAGCTTGACTGCTTAGCGGGCAGGGAACGCATCCGCCTAGAGAAAGGCTGGGAATTTTGCTGTACTGTTCAGAGTAGAACAGGGTTTATTTACTGTTTTGTTGTTACTATGCTTGTAGTTATACTGTTCTTTGTTGTATTATGTTTTTTTCTACTCAGTTTTAGTCATAGTGTGGGTACCCTATTTGTGTGTGTGTGTGTGTGTGTGTGTTGTGTGGCTTGTCCTTGATTCCGGATTATGTGCGCATCTCTACATCTGTGACTCCTGTAAATGTCTTCTGATTAGTCTCTCCACGTTCACCTTTTCCCTTATTCTCTACCTCTTCTGTACTTGTTGCCCAGAGCTGTGTTAGTCACCCACGCTCGTCCGCTCAGATCCGTGGCCACCATCACGGGTGGGCGGATCCTGTGACTAGTCTACGTTTAGGGAAGACGCACAGGGATCAATTTCCCGTGGCAGTCGAGCACTGTAGAAATTCCTTCTTTTTCCTCTCTCTCTCTCTGTCCCTCTTACAGGGAAAGCCTTGTTCGAAAAAAATGGGACAAGAACACGCCAGACCTGCCAAAGGTTTTTTAGCTTGTGATATTGTTAAGGAGAGAGCAGGAGAAGAGGCCATGTTAAAAATAAAGAAGATAGCAAAGATGTGGCGGAACCAACCTCGCCACTGTGCACTGGAGAAGCCTGGTTGCTCACCTGCTCCCTTTAGACTATGGCCCCTGTTCTTTTACCCTGCAGAAAGGCTGGTTTGTACCTTTCTGCAGACTGTTAAAGCCATGCCACCCCAGATAGCTATGCCATGGAGCCCAGCGGTATACTGAAAGACTGTATGAAAGACTTTGGCTCCATGGCGATTGAACTGTATGTATGTGATCTGAGCGCCATCCGGTAATAATGTGCGCTCAGATCTAAGCTATCTGGGGATAGGTAGAATGTCTGTATTTTATGTAATATATGTAACCTTGTGTATTTTATTGTATTTTACTGTCTTTTTACTGCCATGTGCTTAATGGAGTTTTGCCTCTGTCCTTGGAGATAATTGGATTACTTCTCAATTATCTCCAGGATAGAAGATTCTGTGGAACTGGTTTTGGGCAGAAAAGCCATGCTTCATTTGGTCACAAAGGACTTTGATCTATCTTTTGAACCAATGAACCAATTTGCATGATTTTGACATATGTTTGTATTTCGAGTATGCTGATTCAGAAAATGTGAAAATGTGAAATTTTATGTAAATGTGATGCAAACTTTCAAAGTTATGAATAATGTGGAAAAATTGTATTTCTCTGCCTGTGATAGTTATATCACCCATTGTGCTCAGTAATCATATCACAGGCAGAGGGGAGGATTTTGTGTGGGAGTGTCTGTCTGTATTGTACGGATTGATTGGTTGTTCTGTAAAACCCTGTGGGCAGTACTATGTTTGTGGATTGGGAATAAAAGAGGCTGTATGTGCCACTACAGGCAGGTTCTGCTTGACCTCAAAACGATGTGTCGTCTCGTTATTGGGGGAATTGGATTGTATGCTGATTGCCAGGAGTGTAACCCTTTCGTATGGTTTTCCTGTTCGGATATTTCCAGTGTTCATGTGTTTCCAGTTCCGGAGATCGGTGCTTACAGTAGCTGTCGGTGTATCTGGAAAGGGGAATATCGCCATAACGGTTTTTAATCTCTAGTGAGCAAAACGGTCCATTACAATTGGTGGCAAGCGACGGGCTCATTCCCGCAGCCAAGAAGGACAGCTACAAGGTAACACCATTCCCTGGATTTACAAATTGAGGGTAACGCTAGTACTTGTACAGCGCCCCATCTACAAAAGAATCAACTTCAGCAGAGCAAGCATGGCGCCAAGCTACACTCAGGAGGAGTTTGACGCTATGCTGAAAAGTCTGCTTGCTTTCTTCAGACCCAATCCAGAAGAGAAATACGTACAGAACACGAGGAGAAGAGTGGCAGAGAACCTGCAGTTCAAAGCAGATTTGGCCAAAAAGGAGTTACAGGGAACCAAAGGTGCAGTCCTTCCTCCCCAGCGGCAGAGTGAGTTACAGGGAGCCGAAGGTGCCGTCCTTCCTCCCCAGCGGCAGTGTGTGTTACAGGGAGCTGAAGGTGCTGTCCTTCCTCCCCAGTGGCAGTGTTTGTTACAGTGAGCTGAAAGTGCCGTCCTTCCTCCCCAGCGGCAATGTGTATGTTACAGGGAGCTGAAGGTACCGTCCTTCCTCCCCAGCGGCAGTGTGTGTCACAGGGAGCTGATGAAGGTGCCGTCCTTCCTCCCCAGCGGCAGTGTGTGGCACAGGGAGCTGATGAAGGTGCCATCCTTCCTCCCCAGCGGCAGTGTATGTTACAGGGAGCGGAAGGTACCGTCCTTCCTCCCCAGCGGCAGAGTGTCATGCCAGGAGCAGAGACCGTCGGTCTCGCACCCCAGCAGCAGGACAAAATATTGAAAGGGGAGACAGTCGGTCCCCCCCCCCACCAGCAGAGAGAGTGTCAGAGAGAGGAACCTGCTAACCCCTCTCCCCAGCGGCTGAAAGGATTCCAGGGAGAGGAGTCGGTGACCAACTCTTCCCAGCGGCAGCTTATGTCACAAAGGGGAGATCCTATCCTCCCAGATGGGGCAGATGAGGCAGGCGGTCTCGGCCCCCAGCAGCAGGACAATATATTGAAAGGGGAGACAGTCAGTTGCCCCCTCCACCTGCAGAGAGAGAGTAATGGAGAGGAGCTTGTCATTCCCTCTCCCCAGCGACAAAAAGTGGGTAAGGGAGATGAACTTGTTACCCCCTCTCCTCAGCGGCAGCCTAGCCCACCAAGGGGGGATGATAAGCCCCACACCCGTGCAGATGGGACTGTGGTCTCTGCACATGCCTCACAGGGGCTAGGGATGGTTGGTCCTGTCCCCCGGCGGCAGGGATGTTCATCCAAAGGGGAGACAGCCTGTCGTGCCCTCCAGCAGCAGTACCGGGTCCAGAGTGAGGAACTTACTACGCCATTCCCTCGACTGGGCTCCAACCAGGCTACTCACAGGGTAGCGCTGGCAGCAGGGCAGAGTACCGCTGGTCTCTGCCCACTCAGCTACCCACCGATCCGGAGTGCCAGTAAACCCCAGAGCCGAGGTGGAGCTCCTGAACAGGGACAAGCGACCCACTACCCCAGGTGTAGTAACTCTTTATTGTGGGTGGGCTGTACTGCTGATTGTGTTCTGTGGGTGGGTTGCTGGACTAACCAGGGCACTGACCGACAGGAGGTCAGATACCCTGTTAGTCTGGATGGTAAAGGGGAGAAATGTGGCGGAACCAACCTCGCCACTGTGCACTGGAGAAGCCTGGTTGCTCGCCTGCTCCCTTTAGACTATGGCCCCTGTTCTTTTACCCTGCAGAAAGGCTGGTTTGTGCCTTTCTGCTGACTGTTAAAGCCATGCTACCCCAGATAGCTATGCCATGGAGCCAGGGCCGGACTGGCCCACCGGGATACCGGGAAATTACACGGTGGGCCGCAGCACCTAGGGGCTGCGCTGCCACATACGTGCCAGCCACATAGGTGCCACACAGAGGCCGGTCCGGTGGCACACTGAGAGGGGGCCGGCCGCGTTCCAGCCTGGAGCCGCCGGGCCGGGTGGCAGCTTCGCCAGTCCGGCGGCACTCCAGTCACTGGTGTCACTGATGGCTGAAGGAGGAGGAGCCTGTCTACCATGCTCCCTCGCGGTTCCTGTGCTGGGAATTGTGGGAACCGCGAGGGAGCATGGTAGACAGGCTCCTCCTCATTCAGCCATCAGTGACACCAGTGCTGCCGGACCGGCGAATCCAGTCTGGAAAGCGGCCGGCCCCCTGCCTTCTCTAAGGTAAATTTGGGGGGGGGGAAGAGATGGTGAGAGGAATAGAGAGAGGGGGAGGG